ACAGAAGACCTTATTTTTCCCGAATTTTTCCTGCTGGTGCTTTATTTTCTTTTGCTCGGTTCTTTGCGAGAAGTTTTGTTAAATTATGTCGCCGTTTTCAGAAATTTTCTTTTGTTAAAGTAATCCATTAATGTAACGTCTGCGAACCCAAGATATTAGCGAAGTTTAATAGGCTCGCTTACAATAGTAACCTGGCTGCGTATAGACACTATTGTGTAAGAGTGAGTCCCATTAGGCACTATTGTAAAGTCGATCCATTTCGCGTTGCCTTTTGCCGTTATTTTTACAAAAACCTTCGTCTTTTCAATCTTCTCATTTTTTCTCTGCTGTATAGTAGTTTCTGTATTAATATAGTATACGTATATATAAAAGTAAGACCGATATATAAAAAGTTCTGGCAATTTTTCATGTGCTGAATAAAAAATTTAAAAATTTTAAAGTTCTGGCAGTTCTGTTGAGAGTTCTGGGTAGCACCTCAAGAGTTCTAAAAGAAATCCTAATGGCAAAATTAATTATTTTTAGTAGTTATAATGTTATCGCTGATTTAGACATTTCATTTTGTAAAGTTAGCACCCCCAAGATTCAAAAATGGTTTTTTTAGCTTAATTTGCCAGAACTATTTTTAAAATTAGCAAGGAACTCTAGAACTTTTCGCGGTGCATTCAGAACTCTAAAAAAAATTTAATTTTTTAAAAGATGGGGTGCCAACTTCACAGAGGTATACGTATCTACTTTCTAGATCTTTAAATTACATCTTAAAATCACGCAATGTACTTCTTAAATTTTTAAACTGTATATCGCAATATATACGACATTTATGGTTAATATTACATATATTATATATATATATTAATATAATGATTAACATTTTTATTATATTATATATATAACAATACGCAGATATACAGAAATATTCAAACAAACGATTCGGTGATTAAGACAATCAATATCTTGTTTATCCAAACAGAGCTGCAGTGTTGACAACTCAATAAGCTAATTAGTCGGGCGTCCTCATTTGCGAGGCCCGTACGGTAAATATTATGTATATCGGTCTCTACACTTCGCACGCACGCGGCCGTTTATATTTTACAGCCGATACGCAATTTACATACTATACTACAGAGTAATGCGAGTTATGCAAATTTTAATCGGCAATAATATACATGCCGGCCGGCACCTGCGCACCGGGGCACGCACCTTACGTTCCTCCCATTATACGCCATAGGCATCCTACGCCATTGGCAGCGAGCAATCGAAACGCCATTAGTACCCGATGGCATTAAATGAGCGTGTTCTCCAGGCGGGTAGCCGTCTCCTTCGCGCGCGGCGGCTTCCACGAAAATTAACTACTCTCGCGGTGCTTCGATTTGAAATTCATTAATTCTCTCCCTTCCCTCTCCCTCCACTCCCCCCCCCCTCCTCCTCCTCTCGCCCGATGTTCACGCACGGCGTAAACCAGACAACGATCACCCGCGGTGACCGAGGATCATTAACGCGCGCTTCGCCTCGTTTCGGATTACATATTGGTTTTCTACGTAACGGGCGTAAACTTGTCGTTGCGGCTAAAAGCGATTAATAAATTAAGATATTACCTTGTTACATATATATAAGAAATGGTCGTTTTAAAATAAATAAGCTCGCATTGCTTTGTTGAATGTTTTCATAAATTACGAAGATATCACGCTTTAAGATCTTCAAATCGATGATCAATTTGTTCCGTATGTATTAATTATGTATCAATAATTAATTATCTGATATTTTTCTATGTATTGAAAATTACATTTCAGAATATACTACTTGGCGAGAGCATTCTCGATATCGGATGCCTATCGAATGCCTATTTGGGCGATAAGAGACACATCGAGGGTCCACTAATCTCGCGTTAGTTGCGCTCGCAACGAGATCTCGGCGATGGTCTAATCGCCTTATCTAAATTAATGTAAATCGTCATTTGTCAGCGAATACAATCTATAACAGCCGGACAACGCACGGGACGGGAAAG